TCCTGCTCTCTTGTGGTTTCCATTTGCATGAGATGTTATTTTCTATCTCTTTACTTTCAGTCTATGTGAGTCCTTATAGGCAAAGTGACTCTCCTGTAGCCAGAATATAGTTCGGTCCTAATTTTATTATTTATTCAGCTTGTATGTTCAAATTTAAAATTGATAAATTTAAAACACAATTCTACTTTGAAAAATTTACCATAAAGTAATCAGACAGACACACAAAAATTGTACATTGGATATTCTCAGAATTTCATAGTAAAAAAATAGAAATATATTTTTATCAGTATAAGATTAAATGTATTATGATACAATCGCACAGGGCAATATTATTTATAAATATTTTGATAGTTATGGATATTAAAGCTGCTCATAATGTATTTTAACAAATGCATTAGAGAATGTGTCTATTGTTTTATCAAATTTATGTAATATTATAATAGTATGTAAGCATGGAGAATCATCTCAAAGTTTGTGGGCCAAGTGTTAACTGTTATCACTGAAAGGTTAGATTTATTCTCATTTTTGCTTGCTTTAAGCTTCTTGTGCTCTTTCATTTTTTGTAAGGAGCATGTTACGTTGTATGACTAGAAACAATACAATTTATTTAAAAATACATTAAAGATAAATAATACTCATAATTGTCTTTTATTGAAGTATGTTAGCAAAATTTTGGAACATATTTTTATCATTTGAATATGTAGGACCTTTAACTTGTAATGCTTTGTTTAACTTTTCAGATTATATTTAAACTAATCTGAGTCGGCTAGATTATAGCGTATATTTTTACACGTTAGAAGCCTATAGTGGTATTCTTTTCTTTGAACTTGATTATTTCATGGACCATGTGAAATAATCTCTTCTTGCAGTTAGTTTCTGATTACTAAAATCTAAAAGGAATAAAAAGGCAGTTTCTCTTTTTAACTGCTCTCAGAACCACACTAAAATCTCTATGAAGTCTTTTGATTTAGAGTTCAAACAGTTTATATTTCTTTGCAGGTAGAATTTTTGTTTCCACAGACAATCAATTATTCTCCCTTAACTCTATCTCAGGGTAGAAAGTCTTCCATTTTATGAAGTCTGATCTTACTTTAAACAACACAAATGCCATTTTGCTTTGTCTGAGATTAATTCAGAAAGGAAGATAATTTATTTAATACTTTTGTTCATATAATTCATATTTCCTGAATTTTTTTTCTCCTTTTGGAAATCTTTTGAGGGAAAAGTGATAAAATTCTATTCAGTAGAAACTTCTGCAGATTCTTATGTATGAAATTTAGATTGTTAAAGGTGAAAGCTGTACCATTCCTGATAAGTGAACAAATTAGTTTACTGATGTGGTATCACTAAATATTGTCTACTATATCAATACTAGGATTTGAAAAGGCTGGCATAAATTGGAGAAAGTAATAGCTTTGACCTACCAAGTTCAGGACCTTGATCAGTAAAGCTCTTTAATTTTTGTGTTGAGTCATGATAACAGTGAAGGGGAAAATAGTTTCATAGTCTACATTATCAACTTCTAATATGGGGACTTATACCCATTTTGAATTAGTTTAAATGATCTTTATTCTGAGGGTGACTCCTCTACTCATTACATATGCTTTAAATGGGAATCAGAAATTATTTTTTGCCTTCATCAGGACTGTTTAATCTTATATATACATATAATCACCTTTTTAGAATGGCATTGCCAAAGTTATTTTTACAGGGATGGTGACATTGTCTCTTTTCTTAGTCTGTGTTGCCATGAAGGAATACCTGAGACTGGGTTATTTGTGAAGAAAAGAGGTTTATTTAGCTCACAGTTCTTCAGGTTGTACCAGAAGTATGGCACCTGCATCTGCTTCTGTTGAGTGCCTTGGGAAACTTCCACTCATGGCAGAAGGCAAAGGGGAGCTAATGATAAATGTTTAGTTTTCATCTTGATCTGCCTATGGAGACATGAATTTATTTCTCCTTTTAGATTCTGTTTCACTGAAGCTCAAAGATAGTAAGGACCCCAGGCATTTCAGCATGTCTGTACGTACTAACCTATTTCTTTAAGTGTGGAATTGACAACCTTTCCAATTCCAGCTTGAAATGAATATATATATATAATCTTTCTTAAAATGCAAGCTGTATCATGTATGTATTTGCTCATATGATTGTTCACTGAACATAGTAACTGACTTTACTATTATTGCTGTTTTAAAGATGAGTACTTAGAACAATATTAATGACTTTATTTTGAACATAAAAAAGGTATTTTCAAAGTTTTAGTGGTTGTATTTTGTGTTTTAACTAGATAGACTATTTAAATGCAATCAATTTAAATGGATGAACTTCTTGAATACTATTCTTTCTAAAAAGCTGTTTCTACTAGTTCCTATTGTCACTGATAGCTAATATTTACACTCTTGAAGCATTTGGCCAAGGGATAGAAACCATTCTAGGTTCAACCCCACAAGAGCTCTAGTTCTATAATAGAAAATTGTTGCCACAATCCATCAATTCCCACTTAGTGATCTCATTCATGCCCTCCTTCGTGTTCCCAAGGCGACCAGCCTAGTTCAGAACATCATACCCATTCCTTGACGTTTAAATGGCCTCGGCCGGGCGCGGTGGCTCACGCCTGCAATCCCAGCACTTTGGGAGGCCGAGGCGGGCGGATCACGAGGTCAGGAGATCGAGACCATCCTGGCTAACACGGTGAAACCCTGTCTCT